ATGCATTTAATATTATCACAACCATCAAATACCTAAAAATAAATCTAATGAAAGATCTACAATTCTATGCATATTACCTATTAACCACTATTGAAAGAAATGAAAGAACTATGAGTACTGTAAATGGAGATATTCAATATTTGTGGATTGGAAGACATAATATGGTAAGTATGTCCATTCTCCTCAAATAGATCTATAGAATATCATTCAAATAACTAGTCCACAAGTGGTGTGTTTGTGTGTGTGTGTGTGTGTGTGTGTGTGTGTGATTAAGAAGTTTGTTTTTAAATGTATGTGTGTGGCTGGAGATCTTAGAAGATGTTTTATACTCTAAATGATAAGGGACAAACAGACCACATTAAAGAGGTATTAGTATAATGCATTTTATCACTTCAATTCTTTTCATACCTAAATGGCACAAATAAAACTGCTTTCATTTGGTGGGGGACAACATTCGTGAAAAACAGATACATTGTAGTAGGAAGAGAGGATAAAGGTCTCTCTAAGAAGGTCCATGTCAGATTTTCACTCCTTCAAGCAGTGAGCTTGAGCTAATTGAAGATCTGGTAACCCAGGCAGCCACAGTGGACTTACATTCTCAATAACACGATTTTATCCATTACTCATTACCTACTGCATGAAACTGTTGATATATTCAAAGGGCGCTGAGCTCCTTTTTAATCTCAGAGAAAACTTAAAGACAACTACGAATTTTCCTCTGAGTCGCAAGGGGTCTTTCCCTCCTACTTGTGCTATTAGAAGTACCTCTAATAGACTAGCACTTCAGACTGAATTAATTTAAATTGGCTCCCTAGTGTGCTGGTGAGCAGTACTTGCAACCCAGACATATTAGGAAATACACTAGGATGCACTATGTTCTGAGGATATGTAAGATAGCATCTGAAGATGTTTTTAGAAACCTTCCAACATTCATCTGAGATGCAGTCCTGACGGAGCTTGGAGCTGCTGCTTTCAGGCTCTTGCCATTCAGCACGCTGAGAATGCCAGGGTGGTAACTGGCTTTAGGGTCTGAGCCTGTTCCAAATCTTCCAGTCAAAAATGACTCATATTAGCTAAAAAGCAGATGACCAGGTGAACATGATTTGGGCTGTTTTTCCTAAGTAAGTGCTCACATCTCTTTGTAGTTGGCTAGGGAGTCCTGAAAGCAGTTTCATAAGTTGTTCACCTTCTGCTAAAAAGACTCACCAACTCTTCCCTCCAACCACATTAGTGTCAACCTGGAATTCAGCAATGGTTTCCAGTAGCAAAGTCGGGAAGCACCACTCAGGATGTTGAGGTGCAGAATGTAGGGGACCCTGGCATCAGTCACATTAAAACTCATGTTGCAGTTCAGGTGGATGTATTGCTGCTTCTGCCTGCCTTTTCATGGCACCCCCCACCTGTCTCTGCCCTGTCATGTGAGATAAACTGAAGGTCTGTTTTAACCCACCTGGTGCAAACTGATTTTCCAAGGGAATCTCTAGGCATAATAGATTATTAGTGTTCTGTTGAAAATATTATTTAGTCACCTGTTTTTTATTTCCAAAGTGTCTGATATTTGTGATATTAGTATTTCCTTAGCCTAACAAGAGATACCTTTTTTGAACATTCCACTTTCAGATTTAGGTTCATATTATGTTTTTATCAAGCTAAGCCCATAAACCTTGATGAATTCACATCTGGCAAATGTTCTGGGGGTAGCACAGGGCAGAGGAGTAGATATGTTATGTTTAATGGCAGGCTGTGTTGGCCATAGCAGGGACTCGAGCCCTTTTAATCAATGTTTCTCCAGGGTCTTTTCCCGGGAAAAGATGTCAGCGAAGGAATCTGAAGTTCAATCATCTGCTCTTTGTTTTTCCTTCAGTTGTAACAGCAGATTCCTCTTCCTTATTTGAGAAGTTATAAATTTTTTGTTTCACTATTACGCATTTATCATTCCTTCTAACCTATAATCTTCACATTCTAGGGGTTTTGTCTTACCTTTAAACACTGGGTTTTGGGGGAGGAAAATCAAGAAGTCACTAGTGTTTAGCAAAAGATAGTAAAGATGACAACATCTTAATTATTTATTATTTGAGGGAGGGATGAGATTGAAGAGCCTGGTATAGGACTTTAAAATGCTATGTGAAGTAATTGTAAGTCCAGGAAATAATAGTGTAAGTAAGTGGCGGACAAGACCCAGTAAGAGAGAAGACCATTTACCAGCACTCACTACGGGGGGCATCCTGTACACATAACAATTTAATTTTTACTGAAACATGAGAACACCAGAAACTTCTTCCTCTTGATGCTTATGTGGATGGCATGTAACATGTTGAGAAACATTTGAGGCAATTTTCCAGAATTAATTTTTCAAAAAGTCCTCATATGCATAACTATGTGTACCTTTTTATTTATTTATTTATTTATTTATTTTTATTTTACTGGGGAACAGCCATGGTCATTGGTTACACATTGCTTTCATGCTACAATGGTATAGCTGACTCTTTTAAGGAGGGCGCAGCTCCCAGTGGCCCATGTGGGGATCGAACCATGCAACCTTGGTGTTATCAGGTTAGCTCTAACCAACTGAGCTAACCGGTCACCCCCAACTATATGTACCTTAACAGTACACATACTATTTCCTTAGTCTCCTTGGGATACATTATTTGAAGTATCACTGCTGGTCAAATGACACTTCTGAAGCTTCTGTTAATTTACAATCTATACATTGAGTTACAGGACAGCAACTTTACCTCTTTCTAGGATATTCCGGCTTTTATCATTGGTTCTCCAATTTTTGATAATTTTTAAATGGTGAGTTTTATTTAGATTTTCACTTTTTGAATTTTTGACAAGGTTAGATTACCTTTGTATGTTTATACAAATAGAAACTAAATCCCAAACATTAGATAATTTAGTGAAACAACTAATATGAAAGCATCACCTTAACAGTGATAGGTGTCAAAAAAATAAAAGTAGCATGTCACCTCTGCTAAAAATAATTTTCTATAGTACATATAAGATGGTGAATATAGTTATAATACTGTATTGCATATTTGAAAGTTTCTTGCATATTACCCCAAAACACATCTATATTCCGTTAGGTTGTCAGCCCCCACGTGTTGTTTTCTATAGGCTGTAAACCTAATCACCCAGTTTTACATCTTTCTGTATAACCTAATCAGCCATTTTCATTAGCCAATCACAGGAAGAGGATGTGGCCTTAAGTGAATGCAATCCCATAAAAGGCACATTTGTCCTTAGACCTCTTCTTCTCCAGGGTAGCCTGACTGAATTTGCAGCTCCCAGCAGAGTGGAGAGCTCTTGGTGACCCTGATATCAGCTGGTTTTCCAGAACATCCAGAAGTGAGACCATTCACAGTAGACTCTGGTGAGGTTGGAATTTATTTTATTTTTATTTATTTATTTATTTTTACCTGAGCCATCCTGCCACCTGTTGGCAGCTCAGAGGCAGCTCAGCTCAGGCCGGGAATCGAACTGGCAACCCTGTTGCTCAGAGCTCACACTTTTGAACGAGCTCTTAACCAACTGAGCCACTCAGCCAGCCCTGTGAGTTTGGAATTTAAAGCAAATATCTTCATGTCTACTTTCTCTTACACAGATACTTTCAGTTTACCTGTCAGCAGCATGCTTGGGTCAGGTCCAAGCAAACTAGTGGCTTTCCTAGTTATTTAAAATGATATCAATACTTAAAATGCCTGTGACTAGAGCATTTGTAATATATAGATATTTGTGATATTAAGTTATTTGATTATTTTTATTTTATTACCTTATGTTACTAGACTTTTTAGGTTTTAAAAGAGATTTCCATAGTTTTTATGCAATTATCAAAATCATAAACCACCTAGAATGCTCAGCATAATGTAGATACGTAATAATAGTCTTTATACATATCAACATAAAACTAAAATGTATTGCATTAACTAGAAACCCTTGTAATGGTCCTATTTGCTACTCCTTTAAAACCTTCAGTTTGCAGACTTGATTTGAAAACTGTTGAAAATAGATGAGAGCAATGGTAAGGACTCCCAAGATGTGGTGCTGGTCACAATGGGGGAATATCAAAACTAAAGATGAACTGGTCATACTTCCAGAACTGCATGTCTGGACTTTCTAGGGTAGAGGCGACATCCCAGTGTTCTCATTCTTTAAAAAAAACAATTGGCTACTTATTGCTGGTTATCACTGTAGCTTCAACATTCACCCAAAATATGAAGGTGCTGTGATAGTCTGAATCAACGTGGAAAAATTGTTTCCCTGAACTAGAAATAACAGATAATTTTTACAATTTGTTGTTTGAAAGGAGGAGTTTTGTTATTAAAGTTCAAAGCATGGATTCAGCTGTTTTTAGTTTTAGGAGTTGAAAGATAAAGTTGACACTGCTTAAATTAAATGAGCCTAAAGTAACCTAATCAGTTTTATATTGTTTTATTTGTCAGTACAGAGGCAAAAATCACAGAGACCATTGGTATAGATATAAAGTGTATATGTGTGTGTGTGTGTGTGTGTGTGTGTGTGTGTGTGT